TTTGTATGTTTATTACTTTACTTAGTGGTGGTGAAGTCGTGAGTGCTATTTCTAGCTTTCTTCCTTCCAACTTAACTTGAGGTTAAGGCTGAGTTTGAGATTTGCTTTAGACAATGAAATGTGAACAGAAGTAACATACGCATGGTCCATGTAGACTTCAAGTGTTAGTGCATGAATTACTAAGCTACGTGCAAGGCTGCAGTGACCAAGGAAGCAAGCACTGAGACAAAACGTCTTTGAGCATGGGCCCCTGAGTAACAACGAGCAGTCTCCCCTCTTGACCTGCACTGCAACTTGCAGCATGTGGAAAAAATAAATGCACTGAGTTCCTGAGCTTGTGGAACTGTTTATTACTAATTGTTTATAAGCTAGTTCTAGTGTATCCTGACTGATCTGCTCTTCCTCTACCTTCATTTCCTAGCACTCCTGCTGCTTGTATTCAAGCATCTCCTCCTCCATAATTTCTCTTAGATTTTCTCTAGAGATCTCTAACTTCCTCGGCCACTGCCTGCTTGCCTCCTTGCTTGGCTCAAAGGAAAATTGTTGGCACTGGCAGTCAGAGACAGGCATGTGTTCTAGCCACTATTTCTCCCAAATCCTACCCACTTGGGTATTCATATTCTGCTCTTTAAATGTACAACTTTGATTCAGCAATAATCTACATACTTGTTATTTTCAATGTCTGTATTCCATACTGATAATCTAACATGTTGTACTTAAACATTTTCTTCTGTTGGGTGTCAGGATTCCCGGTTTTAATCTACTACAAAGAATCTCTCAGGAGTGATCTCCATTCTCTAAGCATGCTATATTCCACCCGAATATATTTTTGCTGTTTCTGGATTCTGCACCGATGAGTCTGAAGGAAAGGGAGTCAGAAAAAGAAGATTTTCAGTCATTAGCCAGATGGCCTTGTACAAGCTACTTCACAATATTAAGAGTGCTGTGCTTACTGTCCAGAGTTGCTCTGAAGCCCCATTAAAGATGGACTGAAAATGCTCCATGGGGGTTCAGGCCAAGTGAAATGTGGGGTGGCTATCTTATCAGCTGCAATCAGTACTGCTAAAATGCACTGAGCTTGCCAGTAAATCTGCCTATTCAAGGAAATCCACAAATCAAATTCTTTACGCAAAAACTGAAAACTGAGTTTTATCTATATATTTTGTGGACTCTTAAGATGCCATCACTTGCAAGAGGCACCCTTATAAGTCTTCTAGGGGAGGGAAGCTGGCAATTACAATTTTAAAATTTTTGTTTGTTTGTTTGTTTCTTTATTTATTGTGGTACCGGGGATCAAACTCAGGACTTTGTGCTTGCAAGGCAGGCAGCAATTACAATTTTAAGGTGTGGTTATGTGGTATATCTTTGTAACAGAGTTGTTAAATTGTGAGACGTATATGCCCTAGAACTATACTAAAATACATATTTGAACAAACATACAGACTCAATCACATGAAGTTGTCCTGTTCACTTGCTATAAACCAGGACAAGCTCAGCACAGGATCTGCAGCTGGGGACAAAGGGAAGAACCGCACAGTGTGCATATGGAGGTGGGCCCCGTGACATCAACCACCTTACCATATGGCAAGTCAAGCTCCAAAGGCAGTGCTCCTGCTATGTGCAGAATAGGAAAAGCATCTGCCAGCAACAGGGGCTCTGGCTATTCACTGCCCCCCACTTCTAGCCCATTTCACTTAGAGAAAGGAAGGGCTGCGTAGTAGGGAAAGGATAGGGGACAGGAATAGGGATATGATGGTCTGATGACTTCAGCCTGAGCAGGTACAAGATGAAAACCTCAGGGTGTGAATCAAGTTCCCAACTGCTTGGCAAAGATGAATGCTGACTTATAATTCCTTGTCACCTGGTTACCACACTTGGGCAAGTTTAGAGGTATCCCTAGTTGTGCCTCAAAAAAGTGGAATATAAAGTCTCCAGAGGAGTATGTGGCTTGTATTTTGAAGGTGTCTCATTCAAGGATAGACCATCTGTTGAAAGAGGAGGACTGGCCATCATTCAAAGGATCAAGCCAGAATTTCTTCTGGTTCTTAGGCATTAGGGATTACTTAACAGCTAGGCAATCAATGGGATAGATGGGTCTAGTCAGGAAATGCTTAGCTGAACACTATGTTCTTTCTCCTGGCTGTTCTATCTCTTTCAATCCCCCAACACACCACACACCAACGTCCCCTTGGGCCCAATACTGCTGCTGCTGGTATTGGTATGGACTTCCCAGGTTTGGTCTTTGCCAAAGAACACTCTTAAGAGTGGACTGAATTCCCCAGCCTGTTCTTCATAAAATCAGCAGCAAGGAGTGGGGCCAACAACTCCTCCCATAAAAAAAATGAAAAAGGGAACAATAAAAACTGGTCTCTAAGCAAGAAAGGCAATTATCAGCCCCAGAGGATTTGTGGACTTTCTACATTACAATCAAAAGGAGCATCCCTTCTTCTAACTTGAGGGAAACAGTCTGGCCTGAATACTAGCTGCGCAGGCAGAATACTAGCTGTGCAGGCTGAGCCTCACTCATAGCAGGTGCCCTCGGCAGACTCCTGGAGATGCAGGCCTGGCCTAGGAACCGCCCTGTAGCACACACACATGTCCACTGGATATGGACTGTCTTCCAAGTTCTGGGGTCCTTACTGACTGATGTTGTTAAAAACCCCAACCATCAGCTAGCTTTCTTTTTTGGTTGTTTGTTTGGTGGTGTGGGTGGAGGAAAACAGGAGTGTTAAACAAAACAAAAGGACAAAGAGAGTCACAGAGAATCTACACAGGACTAATCGTTTATTTATGGGTTTCTAAAGGTATTGTTCACCTCACTGGCTGCAATTTTTTTACTGACAAGGAAGAAAGTGCTGAACACACTACTTGACCATGTTTAGCATAGTACAAGCACTATGAGTCACCAGCAAATGGATATGACATTCACACTTAAGTGACTGGTTATATGGAATCGTCATTTGTCCTGGATATTAAGCACCTATTAGTGCTGACTGCCCTGGCCTTTCATATCACTGGAAGTGCAGAAGATTCTTCCATAGTTCCCACTATAATCCCAGGTTGCAGAACACATGCTGCTGTATTCATTTCACAAAAACCATAAGCTCAGGCCCCTTCTCATCAGAGCATCCTCTGCTTGGCTGTACCTCCAACATCCAACCTGGGGGAGGCAGGAACTCAGAACACAGTCCTGTAAGCCACAAGTGTGTTTTGAAATGGCATCTAAAGAGGAAGAAGTCAAAGGAGTGGGATGGAGTTGTTCTGAAAGCTCAAGAGCAGGGCAGCAATCAACCATATCAAAGGGAACTACCAGGGTAAGAGAAGACCTTCATGCTCTGTCATCCGAGGCTATGATGGCCACCGAGAAAGAGATGGGAAGACCCTAGAGAACTATGAGGTACTGATGACAGGGTCAAAAGGAATTTACTATAGAAACTCTTCAGACACAAAGCACAAATGAGAAGGACCATAAATTTTAAACTAGTATATGACCTCTACTAAGCCACATACAGTGTACTACTGTATTGTTTTTCTTCTTCTCTGGTTCAGATTACTTGATTCGTAGATAAGAATGGAAAACAAGGCCCCAGAATTTAGCAAGGCAAGGCACAGTGCCTGCCTGCCTGGTAAGCACGAGATCCTGAATTTGAGCCCCAGTACCAACACCCCCTCAAAAAAAAAAAAAGAATGGAAAGCAAGGGTGTGAGAGCCAAGAGGGTGGAGGAGACTCCAACATGGTAGCAAGAATGTGATGAAACCTCATAAATCTTTACTAGTGATAAGAGATCCAAAGTTAAGTAGTTAAGGATCTCTTAATGATAAGTAATCTGGCTGACAAGCAAAAGATGTGTCATACAGGGTAATGTCAGTTAGCATGCGTCCGTGGACAAAATATTAAGTCAGTAAGCAGTCTGTGTATTATAAATCTTACAAATACAAATGTTTAAGAAACGAGAGGACCACATAAACTTCCTCACTTTGACATTTTGGCTTAAAGATTTTTCACATTGATTTTGACATTCCTTCATTTTAAACAAGCACACCAGCTTCCCAGAATATTGGCTACAGGAACACAAACACTGATAAATACCATTTATTGAAATATGTGGAAAGGAGTAAAAAGCAACCAGACAGAATAGAAAAAGACAGATCTGGACTCAGAGCTAGTATTCAAGTGCTGCCTCTTCTACTCATGAGCAATGTGGCCAAGAGCAAGTCACCTCATTCCCTGAGCGTCCATTTTCTCATCTGTAAAACAGGAATACTTTTACCAACCTAGCCACTAAATGAGAACATTATGCATACATGACTAAACAAATGTGTGGTGGGCAGATAACGGTGCCCCCAAAGACACCCACATCCTCATCCCCAGAACCTGTAACTGTTACATATAGAAAAAGGGCTATACGGATGAGATGGATTAAGGATCTCAAAATGGGGTGATTATCCAATCATATGGACCCTTACAAAGGAAAGAGGGAGGCAAGAGTCAGAGGAGATGTGACTATGGAAGTGGTCTGAGAGATATGAAGATGTTATGCCACTGGCTTCATAAATGAAGGAGGGCCAGGGATTTAGCTCAGTGGTTTCGCCACCTGCTGCGCAAGCACAAGGACCCGAGTTCGATCCCCAGTACAAAAAAAAAAAAATGAAGGAAGGAGCCATGAGCAACGGAAAGTAAGTGGCCTTGAGAAGCTGGAAAGGCAGGAAATAGATTCCTCCCTAAGCTCCCAGGAGGAACTCAGCCCCAAAACACTGCTTGGAGCCTAGCAAGACCATTTTATTTTTATTATTTTTGGTTTTTTGTGGTTCTGGGGATTGCACACAGCACCTTGTATAGTCTAGGCAAGTGCTCTGCCACTGAACCACATCCTGACCAGTTTTAGATTTTCATTTTAGATTTTCACCTACAAAAATGTAAGATAACACATGTTACCCAATCTATGGTAATTTCTTATAGCAGCAATAGTCAACTAACATGAAATGTTAGAGGAGGCATGTTCATTCTTTCAAAGCATCAGACTGAATGAGTAGGGAGGAGCTGGAGGTTCCCAGGCCCTGCTACAAATTATGAAGTAGGGTGTCTTACTCAATTTGGGCTACTGTAACTCAATGCTACCAACTGAGTGGCTTAAATAACAAATATTTATTTTCCATAGTCCTGGAGGCTGGAAATCCGATGTGCTGACAGTCGTGTGGTCTGGTGTGGGCTCTCTCTCTGGTTTGCAGAGAGTGCCTTCTCACTGTGTCCTTGCAAAGCAGAGGGAGCTCTAGTGTCTCTTCCTCTTCTTCCCTTGGCACAATTCCATCATGAGGTCTCTACCCTCATAACCTCATTCAAAGTCAACTGCCTCCTCCAAATGCCATCATGTGGAGATCAGGGCTTTGCTACACGAATTCCCTTGGGACACAAACAGCTAGTCCGCAGCACATGGGTGGTTTTCCTGGGGCACTGCTGAAAATGTAGCACACTCAGGAAGGATAAGCCACCAAGTCAGTCAGCCCGCCTGTCCATTCATGTTTATTCTAGCTATTAAGTAAGAAAATATCGCAACATTAAACATAGCTTCTATACTTGGTGAACTGATGACCCATTAGGCAAGAAGAAAAATGGCCATAGAGCTCTCACTCTTCCTTCAATTTTCATAGTCTTCAGTGGCCGACTAGTGAATATATCTAACACACAGCTTCTTGACCTGGACGCTCCTGGGATGAACTCAAGACCCATCAATCTCTGGAAAAATAATATGCCAGGTTGTCAGGAGGGGGTGCTTTTCTGGGGGAATGAATCCATAGATCTAGACTGGCATAAAGGTCTGGGTTTATAACCCAAAAGTTCAGGAACATTTGTATAACAAAAGAAAGGTTATAAACAGAAGACTAAAACATATTACAATGGTTATTTTGGCAAGTGCTCTACTACTGAGCTAAATCTCCAGTCTATAATAGATAGTTTGGAAATGGTCCAACCATTTGTGATTTACTTGACAGAACTCTGAAGGAAGAAAACTGAACCAGGCAGGCCTCCAGAGCATTACTCTTCATGATCAGGGTCATTTAATATTTGCTAAAACATGAAAGACGGCCGTGTTCCATGAGTTTTATTAAACATGGTTTTCTTCTTTCCTGAGTCAGTATGCATGCCATTGCCTAACTTACACAATACTTTTAATCCCACCTACACCACTAGCAACCGCCTTGTTTATGACAAAGTGCTGAGAAAGAGTTTACCTCCTCTCCTTCAAGTCCCTCTTGAACCTATCCTAATCCCCCAAATCTCCCTTACCAAGATTACCAATGACTTCCACGTGATAGTTTGCTAAATTCAACTCTTGAACACTCAGTAGCACGAGAAAGGTGACGTTCCACTTGCCCACTCCCACCATTGTCACACCTGCATTTTGGCCCCTCTCTCTGAAGTCTGCTCTGATAACCATCTAAAACAGCCCCCACTCTTATCCCTAGCTCCCACCCATCAGCTCTATGTATTTTCTTCTTAGCACTTACCACCACTGCACCTGCCATCTGTTGTCCCCATTACAACATAAGCTCCTTGAAGACAGTCTGTTTCTTTTACTGCTGTCTCCCTGGACCCTGGCACATGAGAGGTTCTTGAAAGTATCTGATGGATGAATGAGTATTACACTTCACAGAACTGTGTGAAAAAGGCTCAGCTGTACAACTAGAAAGAGATAACAAGTTAAAGCAATGCCAGCCTGTTGTTTGAGTCCATTCCGGGCAGAGGCTGTCTCTTACCACTTAAGGTTCCAGCAACTACCACAGCATGGTGAGAGTTAAGTAGGACACAGAAGTGTATGCACCACAGAATGTCAGTTAAGAATCCACTGTGGTCATGCTGCTTCCTGCCACCCAAAGTTCTGATAAGGGGCACAGATAAAAATCACATGTGCATATGCACAGACTACAGATATCATTGGCATCCAGCTGTGGGGTGCAGTGTGTGAAGTGATCTGTTCCAGCTGCCACCTGGGCAGGCCTTGACAGTCCTGGGGGCAGAAAAAAAGTCAGCTCCAGGCCGGGTGCTACACCAAGTTATGCTGGGCTAGAACAAACTGCAGTTTCTCATTCTTCCTGCCAACAAGAACAGGTGGGGCCACTCCATCTCCTCCTCCTCCTCCTCCCCCCACAGGAAGTATCCAGAGACAGAGAGGGGCAGACAGCACCACACGACCTGGGTTTACTCTCCCAGATGGGCTGGCAAGGAACCCAAGAGCCATTTCCTGGACAGTGGGGACTTCTGAAGCCTTCACCAGTCTGATAAGCTGCTGCTTCTTCTTTTTTACACTCTTTATTTTGGAAATTTCCAAACAAACAAAAAACAGAATATAGTGAGCTCCCAAATCTCATCACCCAGCTTCAACAATGATCAACTAAGGGTCAGTCCTGTCTCATTTTTCCCTGGGTTGCTCATGTCTTGGTTTGCCAGGACAATCCCAGTTTAAGCATGTTGTCTTGCTGTAATTAATAGCTCCCTCTTTCAGTTCCAAATGTGCCTGAGATTGAATGATAAATTATATGGTCACCTGATCTTTACCCACCCACTCTTTCCCCACCAGACTACTCTGAAGCAAATTCTAGACATGACAGGTCTCCTCAGAAATAATTCACAATGTGACAGCAAAGATTTAAGTACAAGTCCACACTCTCTAACTAACTTATGGACCACTGTGCTAAACACTCTTGATGTGGATTTTTGAATCTCACAAGCAGGAAACAAAGGGACAGGTCAACTGGAATGGCTACGTGCTGGCACATGGGCCCTCTATGTCCACCCTGTGGCCTGGGGGTGCAACTCCAGCTTTTTGGACGGGCTGGCATACATGGAGAAGCCAAACGTGTGCTTATGCAAGCCTGACCCCACTGTATCACTTGCCACCCAACTGTGCTGCTTCCAAATGAGGTCTAGAAACAGTCGTGGACCCTGGACAGCAAAATGAACTCCAGCAGTCATGGCTCATTTTATACATAGACACAGAAAGAGCAGCATGAGTTTGAACAATTCAGACAGAATGAACATGAACCCCAAACCAACCTATATGATAATCTCATCCTTTGTCTCTGCTCACTGTAGCAAAATTCCGGAGCCAGACTGAAAGCTGGGGCATTCGAAACAGCCTACCTTTCTAACACTGAAGAGAAATTGGGGAAAAATAGGATACTGTCACATCTTCTGAGTCCTCAGAAGAGATGATTCTAGAAAGTTCACTGGTCTGTGATCTAGCAACCCCACTTCTGAGTTATTTCCCAGAGAAAGACTCACACAGGTCCATCACAAGATAGTACAGGACATTTGCCACAGCATGGAGCCAGGCAGCCCAGAAGCGCCCCATGGAATGGGCAAGTGCCACATAGAGCACAGACACTGTGAAACAGCACAGTGGGCCATCCACACTCACCAGCAGCAGGCACAAGCAATGGACTAAATGTACACATAGGACAGATCTAAAGATAAAGCTGAAGAAAAATAAACAAAAGAATTGGTAAAAGCATGCCGTTTACTTGAGTTAAACAATGGCGCACACCTGTAATCCCAGGCACTTGAGAGGCTAAGACAGAAGGATTGCAAATTAGAGGCTAGTCTGGGCAACTTAGTGAGATCCTGTCTCAAAATTAAAAAATAAAAAGGCCTAGGAATGTACATCAGTAGTTGAGCGTCCCTGGGTTCAGTCCTCAGTACCCTCCCCCTAAAAACCTACAACAAAACAAAAACAGCAGCAAGAACAACACATCCACATAACTAAAATCCCAAAGAAACACACACATAAAACCCATGTACATACAAAGAGAATCCAAAATACAACAAAATAAGAGAAGCTGCATCAAACACTAATAAGGTTATCTGTGGAAAGGAGGAGAATGGAAAATAGGAATAAAGGGAACAAATCAATCCATGAGTGAGTAAGACAAAGAAAGCAGCCTTGCTCAAACCAATGACAGTATGTCACAAACAGAACAGTATTAACCCTGTGCACTAGAGGTTCAAAGAGAAAAAAGGAAAAAAACCCTCACTGTTAAATAAAAACAATCAACAACTGTGAAAAGGAGCCTGGCCTCAACTATTTTAATGCATCCTTTCATCCTACTAGACAGCTAGCTGGCAAATGGCCAGGACCTGGGAGGGCAGGGCAGGGGGTCTAAAAAAGGACCCCACACTCCTTCCATAAAGTCAGAGAAAGACGACCTTTCTGCAGTTTGCTCCCTAGAACAGTGTTAAGAATGGCTGCACTATGGGTCCATCACTGGACCAACCCAGTTCCTGCATCTCACAGGGGAACTCTTTCATAGCGACCTTCCTCATAAGAAGGGCCCAGGCTTGCTGGTCACAGGGCCTCCTGCTTCCAGTTAGATGACTTGCATCACCGCCTTGTTTACATTCTTTACCTATAGGAGATTCGAGCCTGTAATTGTGCAGTGGCACACACCTGTAATTTAGGGAGACTGAGGCAGCAGGATTGCAAATTTGAATGTTGCCTGAGCAACTTAGAGGGGCTCTGTCTCAAAATTTAAAAATAAAATAAAAAGGGCTGGGGATATATCTGAGTAATAGAACATCCCTGAGTTCAACTGCCAGCAACTGGGACAAAAAAGAAAGAAGGTGGTTTGAAAAGAGTCTACACCCACAGCTGCTTCCTGCTGTAACACTTGATGCTTACACAAATATATCTGTGGATCATAAGACATAGCTAATCCCTTGTACCACACTGAATTAGTGCTCAATTCTGTGTACTTGTGCCGATATCACTGCTTCTAGGTGGACATTAGAGACTGAATCTGTTTTCTTCACTTTACAGAGGGTTACTATGTTCTTGGCTCCAGGTGAGACTGAACAGAACACTGGGCAGAAAGAGCTTTATGGAGCATCATCAACTATGCTGGGCAGGTAAACAGGCAAGGCACTACCTCATAACCAGCATTATGACAGGGATAAGACAAGGTGCCAATAGGAGCTAGAAGTGTAATCCACACTGGAACCTCAGTAGCTAGGGTAGCAAGTTCTTGTAAGAAGGGAAGTCTGACGCTAAAGGATATGCAAAAGCCAGCTGGGCCTTGCAGGTGCGAAGAGATGGTTCTTTCAAAGAATAGGACAAATATCTGTGGTTGGATCAAAAAGGCCCAAAGATGTAGTATTTTCCAAAGAATCCCAGTATTGTTCCCAATCCTGTGTGCACTTCTAGAGCCTTGCTACCCCTCATCTAGCAATGGTATGTTTTCCCTCCCCTTGATCCAGGGTACATGTGGGGCTATTCTGATCAACAGAGAGCACAGCTGAAACATGACTTGTAAGGCTGGGCTGTACAAAGGAGGTGGCTGCTTCCTGACTTTCTCAGGACCCTTGCCAGAGGGAATCAGCCACCATGCTCTAAGGAAGTGCAGGTGACATGGAGAGGCCACCCATCAGCCCATGGATAGACAGTCCTTGCTGAGTTCTCTGCTGAGTGCCAGACATGTGAGTGAATGACCAATCAAAAGACACCAGTGCTCTACTTTGCAGGTTTTAAGACTCCAGACATCATGAAGTAGAGACAAACTACTCCTATACCCAATGCAAATATCTGACCCATGAGCACAATAAATAGTTTTTGTTTGCTGCTAAATTTATTTGCATTTTGTCATGCAATCCCAGTACAAGAAACAAATGGATAAGCTTGGCATAGTAGTGCATGGTTGTAATCCTAGCACTCTGGGAGGCTGAGGCAGGAGATAGTGAGTTTGAGTTTAGTAACTTAGCAAGACCCCGTTTCAAAATAAAAAATAAAAAAAGGCTAGGGATGTAGCTCAGGGTGAAGGCCCTGGGTTCAATTCCCAGTACAACAGAAATAAAACAAAACAAGAATTAATGAATAGTTTGTTCTTTAGTATAGTTAGTTATTCACAAAACTAGAATAGTACAGTTATTCACATAATGGAAACCATTACAGAAAGATAAATGAAAAGTTTATAGTGCTCTATCACATTATGGATGGTTCTCACAAACACAAATGCTGAGCAAAGGTAGCAGAGCTACAAGTACACACTATTTGATTCTACCTAGTTAAATACAAAAAAAAGGCCAGGCGTACCTATGTTGCTACAAGGCAGAAGAGCAGTTGCCTGCTAGGAAGGCAGAAATCGGGGGGGAGGGGGGGCAGGTCTTAGGACACACATCACACACATGTTTTTAGTTTGCAAAAACTCATTAAGGCATACACTTATTGCCCACGCCCTATCTGTGCACACCCTACCGAGGTCCTGAGTCGCGCGGAAGACACCGAATCACCCCGCTGCAGACAGGCAGCCACCTGATTCCACACTACAAAGACGCAGAGGACACCAGACCA